CCGATATGAAAGTGAAGTTAGGCAGAAATATCAGGAAAAAGCTTAGTTCTGTGCAAACACGCACATGAGGTTACCAGGTTTGCATTTATCCTCAACTTTAAAGCAGGAGGTGGGGATCAGATACATGTAAGTATAAGTGCAATCAAACATATGATGTCTATACTGAATCTAATCACAGGTTGGTGAATTTCTTCCATTTCACACTTGACTCATCCATTGCGCCTTTGTACCTTTATTCCTTGGCCCTTCCAGATATATTATGTGGTCAGCATTTCAGGGAGAGAAAGCACTATATATAATTGAGCTTTTCATTCATTAAGGAGACATGTTGTCAGCGATTGCTGGGACCTTGTGGGGCATGTGCAACAGCACAAGCATTGTCGCTTGGTAGATCTATTTTAGCAGATAGAGATCTTTTCTGGGAGGTCGGAGAGATAGGGGGGAGCAAGACCATGGAGGGCTTTGAAGGTAAGGACCAGGATCTAGAACTGTATCCTCTGTGTGATAGGAAGCCAGTAGAGCTGGGCAAGGATAGGGTTGATAGGGTCGCGGAGCCTCGTGCGGGAGAGTCCATGGGCTGCAGAGGTCTGGATGATCTGCAGCCTGTGGAGGGAGGAGTTGGGGAGGCCAACAAGCAGTGAGTTTGCATAGTCAAGCCTCAATGTAATGAGGGGTTCGGCGGCCTGTGGTGTGAGAGAATGGCGGTGTTGGGCGACGTTGCGAAGGTGGGGGAAGGCAGAGCGGGTCATGACGCAGATGTGGGGTAAAAATGATAGTTGAGGGTCAAACAAGACCCCAAGGTTCCGGACTGGCTTAGCAAGGTGGAGTGTGCAACCATGAATGGTGATGCTGTCAGCGCCTGAGGTGAGGAGGCGCTGACCCCAATCAGGAGAGCCTCGGTCTTGTTGACGTTCAACTGAAAAAAGTTAGCTCTCATCCAGGACTTGATGTCTGACAGACATTCTGTCAGGGCAGCAGTGGTCCTGGAGTGAAGGGTGGAGGCAGAGAGGTACAGTTGGGTGTCATCCGCATACATGTGGAAGTTGACCCCATGTCTGTGAATGATATCACCAAGAGGGAGCATATAGATGTTGAAGAGGAGGGGACCAACGACAGAGCGCTGAGGAACATCTCACGAGATTGTCCAGGGGCTAGAGAAGAATCTGTTTGAGGAGATGAAGTGCGGGTGGTGTGAGAGATACGATCTGAACCAATCAAGGACAGCGCCGTGGAGGTTGAGGTGAGAGGAGAGGCAGTGGATGAGGATAGAGCGGTTGACGGTGTCGAAAGGAGCAGAGAGGTCAAGGAGGATGAGGAGGCAGAGGGAGCCCTGGTCGCAGATGGACAGAATGTCATTTGTCACTTTGACCAGGGCGGTTTCTGTAAGTGATCAATGGGGGAACTTGAACCAACCTTTGAAAAGATGACTCAGATATTACCACGTATGAGTTAAGGATCACACTTTTTTCTCAAAAAAACTCAGCAATAATCCTGGAAAATGTTTAACTCTTTCAGAACTGGAACCTAGTTGCAATTTTTCGAGAAAGATTTTCTTTAAACCTCCATTGCGTCATCTAAAACAGAGACAAGCAGCTGTACAGATCCATTGACAATGTATTATCTGCAATTTCCACATCTGCAATTTCTCCAACAGCAAGTTACACTTATTTTAAGTCATTTACGTTACTTAAATGAAGTTACTTTAAGTTATTTTAACCCATTTCCCATCTCAATAAGTAGTGACTGTGTACTTTGTAAGTGAACACGCAGGCAATTTGTGCATAGCAATGTCCCACAACAGCCTTGAATTGAATGACTAAATTTATCTGGGCACTAGGATACTGAGAGAAACTCACTTTTTTAACATCCACCTGAATAGGCAGACATGAACACCTCTGTTTAGTGTTTCAGTTGAAGGCTGGAACTGACAGTGTAACACACATTCAGCAATGTATTGCAGTATCAGCCAAGACTATGAGTTCAAAGCCCCATTGTGGGGCTTGAATTTACAACCTTCTGACTCAAAGGTCAGAATTGAGAGTACTACCAACTGAGCCAGGTTGAAACTGTGTAATGTTTAATGTAATGGTAATATACTGTAGCAACTTTCTAATTAAGGCATTATTGCATGTAACACCAAAATCACAGAACCACACTCCCACAGTATGTCTCTGCACTGCATATATTCAACACGTGCATACCATCACTAGAATGTACTGCTTGGGAGCCAGGCAGATTGTAGGCTATTATGAGGTATGCAGCATTGCAAGAGCCTCATTAAGATGTCAGTGGGATTTGTGCTAACATCATTACTTTGCATAGTGAAGTACTGAGCTGGGATTAGTTCCTGAGCCTTTTTATTTGCAACATTTTTAAAGAAAAAAACAAATCTCTGTAATTTGCATTCCTATAATATTGGAGAAGTGGAACAAAAACTAAAAGAAAGAGTTAAAATAGGTTTAGGACGTAACAGATTTTTTTGTGGTTTGAAGTAAACAAAAATAAGAATGTTAATCGTTAACTCAGTGGGAATGATTCCCCGATCATCAGTAAATTTATAATCTTATTTTTTTCCCCCAAACATTGGAGAATAATACGTGCTCACCTGTCAGAATTGATAACTTCACTGCTGATTCACTGCTCTTGTTAAATCCGAAAGCAAGCTCACTTAACTCTTAATTTCTGGAGCAATCATTGTGGGGACTATAGGAGATCTTTCCAAATGTGTAATAGGCATTTAACAATTAAATACAGTGTTTGAATTTGTGCTTCTCAAACCAAACATTGCATTTTGACCCACCTATTGGTGATAGGCTAGGATCTGTTGCTTGACTTCTTGGTATTTGACAGAGGTAGTGGGAATTTTGTAATTGGATTCCTTAATAAGTAATCCAAGCCACACAGATGGGGACTCCTTCCAATAAACTGTAGTATATCATGCTGACCTGAGGAAACTCCAATGCAATCTATTTCTGGAGCCAAGTATTAGCAGTTGCCAGGAATTCAAACGGAATGCCTTATTAATGAACCCCATTAAGAATTAGTGTAAAGTACAAATAACTCATTATTAGCACACTTTTGGTGGCACTGCCAATGTCATTTTTAACAAGCAATTTTGTGGTCATTCACTAATCTCAGATTAGCAAACACGGTCTGTGAAACTATAAATAGTTTCAATAAACTTCCATGAATCTACCCTTAAAATAAATCTTTCCAGTTTCATAATGAAGACACCAATTCAACAGTGATTTACAATATCTTTGGTGTTGGTTTCCAGTATTCCTCTTTCATAGAGAGATATTGAAGGGGACAGACTTGGTAGAATGTTATGTTTAGCATGAGAAGTCAACAGTTTAATGATTTACCTTCAGATGCTGTAGATATTGATCAGATGGAACCCACCCTGGTTCCACAAAGGTGAAGAGCAAAGGACAACACTGATCAGAGTAAGAGGATCATTGTGCCAACAGTATTTTCCCTTGTTTCTCACTTCTATGGATCAGAGTTGTGCTTCCTTAAACATAGGGATCCTTTTATCTCAGGCTTCCGGAAGACACTGTAAAACCAAATGGTTGCCTGACAAAAATCTAACTCTCTTAAATGTAACAAGCCAAAGCAGTAATACCTTGTGACGGTATTGTCATTATAATAAACAGTAATTTCAAAGTTCCTGTTAGAACACTATTTTCCTTCATCACCTCGTCCATTAAAACTGGGAAAGGACAGAATGATCTGATGATCAGAATCATGAAGAAGGGTTTAATTGCAAGAACAAAACTGCAGCAAGAAGCCTTGGAAGATGTCTCCTACATGCATTACCTGAATGGAAACTCAGGAGGTAGGGACTGCCATAACAGGTCTAAGCTGTAAAAATAAAATATCTCCCCAAACAAAACCAGCTTGTTTCATCGAACTGGTTACACTCAGTGCTTTTTATCTTTCAATTGCTAACGAACAATACAGCAACACCAAGATTACATTTGTATCGCACCTTTCACATCGGGAGAATGACCCAATACCACAATTAATATCAAACATTTCATCTAGTGTTATTTAAAGTTAATTACTGCAGCTATAATTTGGTTGCAAAATGCAGTCTGACCAGATTGTGCATGACTTCTTGGGAATATCTCAGCTGAGCTAAACAATGACTTTACCAGCTTTCTGAGGTCAGGTTTATGGGTTGAATGACCTGTGAAAATTGGTGATTATGATCCTTGGCAAGTGCAATGAGTATATAGCCACAAATAGTTATGTGAAAAGATGATGATTAAGTCATTAATTGACTGTTATGGATCAGAAGCATTCTACCTGTGGTGTATTATATATCAGTATAGCTGGGTAAATAGGGAAACAAAAGCTCAATTTTTAAGTGATGTGATAAACAGAACCTTCCACTTTCTACAATCATTGGGGATGCTATAACAGACAGAAAATGAAGCTGCAAATGTTTTTCAAATAGGTTATGCAGCACTTGCATGTTGCTCTCAGCGCTGTGGAATCCACTCTGCTGTGTAAATTGAATGAATTCCACAATGCCAGGGCTCAGGATAACCCAGAAATACTTCTACTTGAAGCAGTTCTGGGATATAAACACAGCATTAAGTCAGATTGAAAGCAGTCATTGGATTTTCATCATCATTCGTTATAGATCTTATTTCTCAGAGCAATCTCAACAATGCATCTTTCATATTGCAAATTATTACCTTTTCTAGCATTATCTAAGCTCTTATGTTTACACCATGAGTTGTTGGAAACACAGATAATGATCATTGAGAAAAAAAGGAAGGAAGCAAATGGTTCAAACAAAATGGCAGCTAATTTATAAAATTTGCTCGTGTATTACATCCAAAGTACATTTCAACCCAAACTGATAGGAAAGAGGTCAACAGGTATGAATTACAGTCTCACGAAAATTCCATCCTTTATAACCAACAACAAAAATATTTCATTTCATGTTATGAATACACAATTGTTAGATTAGTTAAATATCTGTTTACCTTATAGCCCGATGACTTGATGTGAATTCCCCGTTTGGTCAGTGTTGACTTCATTCTGATAAAAAATGATCGTTCCAAGGTATTGTCATTACTCAGTAAACTTGGGCTTGTAGATTCCACTGTGGGAGAAGAAATAAAAGGACATTTATTAATCGTATACTTTTTGTAACACAATATTTCATTTTGGGAACATTGTGCTTGCCAATATTTTTTCTTTGTACTGGATCTCAGAAGAATTTACCTCACATTGCTTCTACATCTCCCCATCAACGTCCTTCTAGAACCAAACTCAAGCACACCCCTCGGTTTCCTTCTAATTAAACGTAGTCCACTGAGATGAGAAACAGGTGGACCACTGTCTTTCAACCCCTCCACCCCAACATCCACCTGCTAGATGTGGTGGAACTATTATTGGAAAAGGGCAAGTTAGAGAGAATTTTATATTCAATAACAACAACAACTTGCATTATATAGCGCCCTTCGCGTGGGGTAGCATGCCAAAGCGCTTGAATCTTAAATACGCATGAATCTGAAGAAATTCTCTGATATCTACCAGCACGTAGTTGGCACTCTGGCCACAATCAATCACATTACTCAAGCGTCACCTGACAATTGGTTGCACCCACCAGGCATGTTATGCCATCTTGTGCAGCCACAGCAATGCAGCTAAATCTGACAGAAATCAGTGGCATAAGGCACCTATAGCTCAACAAAACACACTCTACACACTGTATTACGCATGCAGGTGGTTATCAAGGTTAATAATCCCTCAAAAAAAACAATAATAAATTGGTCATTTCAATCCACGACTGTTTGTGGGACACTGCTGTGTGCAATTGGCTGCCTCATATATACGAATATACAGTCAATTCACTTTATATTCTATTCTGTGAAGTGCTTTGAGACATCTAGAAAACATGAAAAGCGCTATATCAAATGCAAGGATTATTATTATTATTACACCTTGAGCATAATGCACAAATATTCAACAATGTATTGCAACTGAAGACCTGCAATATAAAAAATAGGCACCTAACGACAGCAGCTACAGCTTGTACACGAACAGGTGACGTACCCACATGGCTTTCTGTATATAGAGTATATAATGTTTTAACTATTAAATGTTTGGGGGCGAAATGCTCCCATGCAAATCATTAACTTTCAAAAGTGTATTGAAAGAGGCCGTAAGAATGGTTTTGGACATGGATTAAAACACATTTAGCTTGCATAATGCGTTCTTCACAGGATTAGTGCTTTGAAGACTTTTCTGATAGAAAGCTCAATTTCACAGCCGTAATCTTTTTCTCTCATGACAAAATATTGTAGCAGTATCAGAAAAAGGGAAGCGTATGATGTTTAATATAATATCCAAAGTTTAGAAGCCAGTTCCCTGCAAAAACAGAAATATATACACAGCATAAAATTGGACAACATTGCACAGAAAAGCAGTGTTCTATTGATGGCTAATAACCTTTACTTGCAATTATATTTATTATATTTGTTCCAAATAATTAAATGCAAAAGGACAACCAACTATATTTGTAAAACAAGATACTTTAATCTAAATATGAAATCCATATTGTAACATTTTAGGAGAATGACAGTCTCGATTCAAGTACTGATTGCTTCACTTTTGAAATGCCATCTCATGATAAATTACTTTTCAAACACTTTTTAAAGATAAATAAATAATCCTTGTATTTGATACAGCGTCTTTCATGTCAATCTCAGAGCTATTCACAGGATATACTGTGAAGTATAGTGACTGTGTATTTTGTAAGTGAACACAGCAGCCAATTTGTTAAAAGCAATGTCCCAAAACACAAAAGATCCTAGATTTAGAAGGAACTTATTAAAAAAATAAAAACCCTTGTATTTTGGAACAGCATCTATGAAAACAACTCAAACAGCTTCAAATTGTTTTGTGAAAATGTACTAACTGTGCCTTTAAAGGCAAACTTATTTTGTCTTCCTTAAGTCCTAACTATTTTGCTCTCTCTCAAGGAGAGAGTGGTGTAGCGCCACAGGTATATTAGTCGCTTTCATTCCTACTGATTAAAAAAATGAATTACTATAAAATTCTTCTCATCATCTAACGTACTATAATATGCCAACAGCTTTTTAATTTTATTTCATGGAGTCTGTAATGCACCATCTAGGCAGAAACTTCAACTGTAAGAGTTTAATTCATCCCTCTAATCCAATCACATCAACCTGATTTTTCTTATCAGAGATTCCCATTTTGAATTAAATGAGCTCATTAGTTTTAATCAAAGCCAGAAAGATCAAAACTTACACTTAAATGCTTTAGATCAGAACTGTCACTCAGCCATGTAGTTCTCTTTTGCAAACGCATAAGATTAGAGGCCTTTGGAGCTTTTTTTTACACAAGGAATGCTGATAGTATTAGAATCGTAGATATCTCTGGAATTAAATCAGTTCTCCCCAGTATGGTGTGTGGAGCTCAGTGACCTATCTTGTGCATCTGGATCTTTGGCACTTTGGTGAGAATTGAGTGTTAATGGATTCTATTTGTGAGACAGGCGTCATTGTCATTCATGCACCTAATGACTGCCCAAAGTATTACATTCTGAAGAACACAACAGCTCTTTTCTTTCAGATCAGTCTGGCTCCACTGTGTGGAAATGTTTTTGATAATTATCACACTTAACATAATTTTTTTTCTTGAAGCACAGATTCTATTTGCGGTAATTCAAAAAATAACCGATAGTGAGAGAGAGCAAGTGAGAAAATATAGAGAGCACAGATTGTATGGGAATTTGTAAGTGGAAGTTGGACAGTGTCAAAACAACATCAAATGACATTAATAAACTATAGTTCCTTTCACATCAGAAGCACGTCCCAAGGCGCTGAAAACCAAAACAGTGTGAAAAAAAAAATTTGGATTAATTTTCTGAATAAACACAAAACATGTAATTAAAATCCTACTAAAATTGTGAAATGTTGCAATGGTTTACTGCACAGCTCCACTTTATACAAAGTCACACATACTCAAGGTGGCCCCAGGATCAGTCTTTGATTTGCAGATTCTCGCCTAAAATAATAATGAGAAATTGGTCACTTCAATCGACAACCTTTTGTGGGACACTGCTGTGTGCAATTGGCTGCCTCATTTTGCCCACTAAATATACAGTCAATTCACTTTATAGTATCTTTTGTGAAGGGTTTTGAGATGTCTCAAAGACGTGATAAGGCACTATATCAAATGCAAGGATTATTATTACTCCAGGTTCAATGCTGAGGGGAACAATGCATTGTTGAACATGTCCTTCGAATTAGTTGATAAACCGAGGTCCCGTCTGCCTATTCAGGTGGCTGTTAAACAACCCATGGTACTACTTATGAGGTGAAGAGAATTTTTCCTAGCATCCTGACCATTAATGCCCTGATAAGATTAGTCATTCAATCATGGCGGTTTGTGGGACATTGCTGTGCACAGATCGGTTGCCATGTTCACCTACAAAATGCACAGTCACTACACCCTGCAGTAAATTCGAGTTTAATGGAACCAAAATGGTAAAATTATAGCTAGTAGCATATTTCGAATTTGATGTTTAAATGTGGTTGAACTATGATAGTACCATTGGCATTAATTAACAATAGTTCAGTAAGAGTAAATAGTCCCTTTAGCCATAGTTCTATAACAACAACAAAATTACATTTATAGAGCGCCTTTCACGTCGGGAGGACGTCCCAAAGTGCTGAACAGTCAGCTGTCGGGGCCCGAGCATGGGGGATAATGCTCTAAAATGTGTAAAGCTGCCCTAAATAAATTAAAATAACTGGCTAGATTAATACAAGATAGATGTTTAAACGGCTTTAAAATATAATTCAGTAGTTTAAGCACTCTATTTACATAAATGTGATTATTGTTAAAAGTTGAAAATAAAGTGGCAGTGTAAAGTGTAAAATATACTAGAAACTGTAGATTAGTAATCAAGAACCATTTATAATACGCTTAATTTGGAACAATTGCTTTCAAACATTATAATTTTAAATAAGATCTATCTGCTAGACTGGAATGATTGACCGAAACAAATTTTGCAATTAATGAAAAAGCATGTTCTAGATTATTGGAAGGCAATTGGAACACTTAATGATTTGCTTGTCTTTATTAAGTCAACACCTCAAAAAAAAATGTCCGTCAATAAATTTCACATTGTCCTATTTGGACAAATATCACTAGTATGAATTAGAAAAACTATATAAGGTTGCAAAAAATGACTATTTTCTTCATATCAACTAAAATCATGCTTTACTTCCAGCAAGTAATAATAATAAATATTAATCCTTGCATTTGATATAGAGCCTTACCACATCTTTGATACACCCCATGCCCTTCACAGAATATATTGTACAGTGGATTGACTGTGTATTTCGTGGACAGCAGCCAATTGTAAAATTATGATGAGGCATTAGGTGGCTGAAGGTACTGCTCTTTAAAGCAGAAAGGAAGGGATAGCAGTTGTGATGGGGTTGTCCAATACAGTCAAGAAGATCTCTACTGGGAGTCTCAAAATGTACCAAGGGGGTTTAAGATCAATGGTTATTCCAGCTTTACATGCAACCTTCTGGATACTTGAATCCAGTCCGATAGGACCAAACTCGGTCTGATCAATAATATTAAAAAAACAATTAGGAATGGAGAGTCTGCTCTGACATGTGGGAGTTGAAGACATTGAAATCAAATGCCGGGTCATTTACCATTCAAAATGAACTAGGAAATGTGTTAGTTGAATTACTTGAAGGTGGCTTGGGAGTCATTGATGTGAACTTGAGAACCTGATGCTAAAGCTGGGGAGAATATTCAGTTTGATAATGCTTACTTTCGCCAGCATGATAAGGAGGGATGAGGTCACCAGGCTGTATCCTGCTAAACAACGAGCAGAGTGCTTCAGTGGTTAGCTTCTTACCAGAGCAGCTGCCTATGAGTGAATTGCTTGAAGACAGAGATAATTTCAGTTAGAAGTAAAGCAGTTTTAATAGGTTCAAAGAAGCAGGGCCCAATTTTTTTTATATACATTGGTTTAATTCGAAAGGGCTTCATGCTACAGTATTTGAATAATACCCAATAGCAAATCAAGGAATCAAAGATATC